ATATTTACCGGTCTCCCTGTGTCTCAACTCTGAGACAGAGATATTTACCGGTCTCCCCGAGTCTCACTCTCATGCCAGAAATATTTACCAGTCTCCCTGAGTCTCACTCTGATCCCAGAGATATTTACCGGTCTCCCTGAGTCTCACTCTGATCCCAGAGATATTTACCGGTCTCGCTGAGTCTCACTCTGAGACAGAGATATTTACCGGTCTCCCTGAGTCTCTGATCCCAGAGATATTTACCGGTCTCCCTGAGTCTCATCTCTGAGACAGAGATATTTACCGGTCTCCCTGAGTCTCTGATCCCAGAGATATTTTCCGGTCTCCCTGAGTCTCACTCTGAGACAGAGATATTTACCGGTCTCCCTGAGTCTCACTCTGAGACAGAGATATTTACCGGTCTCCCTGAGTCTCACTCTGATCCCAGAGATATTTACTGGTCTCCCTAAGTGTCACTCTGAGACAGAGTTATTTACCGGTCTCCCTGAGTCTCACTCTGAGGCAGAGATATTTACCGGTCTCCCCGAGTCTCACTATGAGACAGAGATATTTACCGGTCTCCCCGAGTCTCTGATCCCAGAGATATTTACGGGTCTCCCTGAGTCTCACTCTGATCCCAGAGATATTTACCGGTCTCCCTGAGTCTCATCTCTGATCCCAGAGATATTTACCGGTCTCCCTGAGTCTCACTCTGATCCCAGAGATATTTACCGGTCTCCCTGAGTCTCACTCTGAGACAGAGATATTTACCGGTCTCCCCGAGTCTCACTCTGATCCCAGAGATATTTACCGGTCTCCCTGTGTCTCAACTCTGAGACAGAGATATTTACCGGTCTCCCCGAGTCTCACTCTGATCCCAGAAATATTTACCAGTCTCCCTGAGTCTCACTCTGATCCCAGAGATATTTACCGGTCTCCCTGAGTCTCACTCTGATCCCAGAGATATTTACCGGTCTCCCTGAGTCTCACTCTGAGACAGAGATATTTACCGGTCTCCCTGAGTCTCTGATCCCAGAGATATTTACCGGTCTCCCTGAGTCTCATCTCTGAGACAGAGATATTTACCGGTCTCCCTGAGTCTCTGATCCCAGAGATATTTTCCGGTCTCCCTGAGTCTCACTCTGATCCCAGAGATATTTTCCGGTCTCCCTGAGTCTCACTCTGATCCCAGAGATATTTACCGGTCTCCCTGAGTCTCACTCTGATCCCAGAGATATTTACCGGTCTCCCTGAGTCTCACTCTGATCCCAGAGATATTTACCGGTCTCCCCGAGTCTCACTCTGACCCCAGAGATATTTACCGGTCTCCCTGAGTCTCACTCTGAGACAGAGATATTTACCGGTCTCCCTGAGTCTCACTCTGAGACAGAGATATTTACCGGTCTCCCTGAGTCTCACTCTGATCCCAGAGATATTTACCGGTCTCCCTAAGTGTCACTCTGAGGCAGAGATATTTACCGGTCTCCCCGAGTCTCACTATGAGACAGAGATATTTACCGGTCTCCCTGAGTCTCTGATCCCAGAGATATTTACCGGTCTCCCTGAGTCTCACTCTGATCCCAGAGATATTTACCGGTCTCCCTGAGTCTCATCTCTGACCCCAGAGATATTTACCGGTCTCCCTGAGTCTCACTCTGATCCCAGAGATATTTACCGGTCTCCCTGAGTCTCACTCTGATCCCAGAGATATTTACCGGTCTCCCTGTGTCTCATCTCTGACCCCAGAGATATTTACCGGTCTCCCTGAGTCTCACTTTGATCCCAGAGATATTTACCGGTCTCCCTGAGTCTCACTCTGATCCCAGAGATATTTACCGGTCTCCCTGAGTCTCACTCTGACCCCAGAGATATTTACCGGTCTTCCTGAGTCTCGTCTCTGAGACAGAGATATTTACCGGTCTCCGTGAGTCTCACTCTGACCCCAGACATATTTACCGGTCTTCCTGAGTCTCGTCTCTGAGACAGAGATATTTACCGGTCTCCGTGAGTCTCACTCTGAGACAGAGATATTTACCGGTCTCCCCGAGTCTCATCTCTGAGACAGAGATATTTACCGGTCTCCCTGAGTCTCACTCTGATCCCAGAGATATTTACCGGTCTCCCTGAGTCTCTGATTCCAGAGATATTTACCGGTCTCCCTGAGTCTCACTCTGAGACAGAGATATTTACCGGTCTCCCTGAGTCTCTGATCCTAGAGATATTTACCGGTCTCCCTGAGTCTCACTCTGAGACAGAGATATTTCCCGGTCTCCCTGAGTCTCACTCTGAGACAGAGATATTTACCAGTCTCCCTGAGTCTCTGATCCCAGAGATATTTACCGGTCTCCCTGAGTCTCACTCTGAGACAGAGATATTTACCGGTCTCCCTGAGTCTCTGATCCCAGAGATATTTACCGGTCTCCCTGAGTCTCACTCTGATCCCAGAGATATTTACCGGTCTCCCTGAGTCTCTGATCCCAGAGATATTTACCGGTCTCCCTGAGTCTCACTCTGAGACAGAGATATTTACCGGTCTCCCTGAGTCTCTGATCCTAGAGATATTTACCGGTCTCCCTGAGTCTCTGATCCCAGAGATATTTACCGGTCTCCCTGAGTCTCACTCTGACCCCAGAGATATTTACCAGTCTCCCTGAGTCTCATCTCTGATCACAGAGATATTTACCGGTCTCCCTGTGTCTCACTCTGAGACAGAGATATTTACCGGTCTCCCTGAGTCTCTGATCCCAGAGATATTTACCGGTCTCCCTGAGTCTCACTCTGAGACAGAGATATACTGGACTTGATGTAAATTCCCCGTTTCTCCGCTGCATCTCACCGTGTCTGCCCTGTGTCTCCCCGTGTCTCCCCCCCGTGTCTCCCCGTGTCTCCCCCCCTTGTCTCCTCCCCTTGTCTCCCCGTGTCTCCCCGTGTCTCCCCGTGTCTCACCGTGTCTCCCCGTGTATCCCCGTGTCTCCCCTTGTCTCCCCTTGTCTCCCCCCCTTGTCTCCCCTTGTCTCCCCCCCTTGTCTCCCCGTGTCTCCCCGTGTCTCCCCTTGTCTCCCCTTGTCTCCCCCCCTTGTCTCCCCTTGCCTCCCCCCCGTGTCTCCCCGTGTCTCCCCGTGTCTCCCCCCCTTGTCTCCCCGTGTCTCCCCGTGTCTCCCTGTGTCTCCCCTTGTCTCCCCCCCGTGTCTCCCCGTGTCTCCCCCCCGTGTCTCCCCGTGTCTCCCCCCCGTGTCTCCCCCCCGTGTCTCCCCCCCATGTCTCCCCCCCGTGTCTCCCCCCCGTGTCTCCCCTTGTCTCCCCGTGTCTCCCCGTGTCTCCCCCCCGTGTCTCCCCCCCGTGTCTCCCCCCCGTGTCTCCCCGTGTCTCCCCTTGTCTCCCCGTGTCTCCCCGTGTCTCCCCGTGTCTCCCCCCCGTGTCTCCCCTTGTCTCCCCGTGTCTCCCCCCCGTGTCTCCCCGTGTCTCCCCGTGTCTCACCGTGTCTCACTGTGTCTCCCCGTGTCTCCCCCCCGTGTCTCCCCCAGTGTCTCCCCCCCGTGTCTCCCCCCCTTATCTCCCCGTGTCTCCCCCCCGTGTCTCCCCCCCGTGTCTCCCCCCCGTGTCTCCCCCCGTGTCTCCCCCCCGTGTCTCCCCCCCGTGTCTCCCCCCGTGTCTCCCCCCCGTGTCTCCCCCCCTTATCTCCCCGTGTCTCCCCCCGTGTCTCCCCCCCGTGTCTCCCCCCCGTGTCTCCCCCCCGTGTCTCCCCCCCCGTGTCTCCCCCCCGTGTCTCCCCCCCGTGTCTCCCCCCGTGTCTCCCCCCCGTGTCTCCCCCCCTTATCTCCCCGTGTCTCCCCCCCGTGTCTCCCCGTGTCTCCCCCCCTTGTCTCCTCCCCTTGTCTCCCCGTGTCTCCCCGTGTCTCACCGTGTCTCCCCGTGTATCCCCGTGTCTCCCCTTGTCTCCCCTTGTCTCCCCCCCTTGTCTTCCCTTGTCTCCCCCCCTTGTCTCCCCGTGTCTCCCCGTGTCTCCCCTTGTCTCCCCTTGTCTCCCCCCCTTGTCTCCCCTTGCCTCCCCCCCGTGTCTCCCCGTGTCTCCCCGTGTCTCCCCCCCTTGTCTCCCCGTGTCTCCCCGTGTCTCCCTGTGTCTCCCCTTGTCTCCCCCCCGTGTCTCCCCGTGTCTCCCCCCCGTGTCTCCCCGTGTCTCCCCCCCGTGTCTCCCCCCCGTGTCTCCCCCCCATGTCTCCCCCCCGTGTCTCCCCCCCGTGTCTCCCCTTGTCTCCCCGTGTCTCCCCGTGTCTCCCCCCCGTGTCTCCCCCCCGTGTCTCCCCCCCGTGTCTCCTTGTCTCCCCGTGTCTCCCCGTGTCTCCCCGTGTCTCCCCCCCGTGTCTCCCCGTGTCTCACCGTGTCTCACTGTGTCTCCCCGTGTCTCCCCCCCGTGTCTCCCCCCCGTGTCTCCCCGTGTCTCACCGTGTCTCACTGTGTCTCCCCGTGTCTCCCCCCCGTGTCTCCCCCCGTGTCTCCCCCCCGTGTCTCCCCCCCGTGTCTCCCCCCCGTGTCTCCCCCCGTGTCTCCCCCCCGTGTCTCCCCCCCGTGTCTCCCCCCCGTGTCTCCCCCCCATGTCTCCCCCCCGTGTCTCCCCCCCGTGTCTCCCCTTGTCTCCCCGTGTCTCCCCGTGTCTCCCCCCCGTGTCTCCCCCCCGTGTCTCCCCCCCGTGTCTCCTTGTCTCCCCGTGTCTCCCCGTGTCTCCCCGTGTCTCCCCCCCGTGTCTCCCCGTGTCTCACCGTGTCTCACTGTGTCTCCCCGTGTCTCCCCCCCGTGTCTCCCCCCGTGTCTCCCCCCCGTGTCTCCCCCCCTTATCTCCCCGTGTCTCCCCGTGTCTCCCCCCCGTGTCTCCCCCCGTGTCTCCCCCCCGTGTCTCCCCCCCTTATCTCCCCGTGTCTCCCCCCCGTGTCTCCCCCCCGTGTCTCCCCCCGTGTCTCCCCCCCGTGTCTCCCCGTGTCTCCCCCCCGTGTCTCCCCCCGTGTCTCCCCCCCGTGTCTCCACAGCCGGAGTCGTCCCAGCCGCTGAATCTGTGTTCACGCCCCAAGCCCTACCCGGACGGCCCCTCCCCCCACGGCCCCTCCCCCCGAGCCCCCCACCCCCCCACCTCCTCCTCCCTGGGGGGCCGGGGACCCCCCAGGCAAGGGGTGGGGGCCGTGGGGGGAGGGGCCGTGGGGGGAGGGGCCGTGGGGGGAGGGGCCGGGTTCCCGCTGCACCCCCACAAGAGAGTTGGAGGGGCGGGCAACAACCTCCCTGGTGAGGGGGGGAGGGGCCGACGGTGGGGAGCGGTGGTGGTGGTGTTGTGGTGTGGTGGTGTTGTGGTGTTGTGGTGGTGGTGTTGTGGTTGTGGTGGTGGTGGTGGTGTGGTGTTGTGGTGTGGTGGTGTTGTGGTGTTGTGGTGTTGTGGTGGTGGTGTTGTGGTTGTGGTGGTGGTGGTGGTGTGGTGTTGTGGTGTGGTGGTGTGGTGGTGTTCTGGTGTTGTGGTGTTGTGGTGTGGTGGTGTTGTGGTTGTGGTGGTGGTGGTGTGGTGGTGTTGTGGTGGTGGTGTTGTTGTGGTTGTGGTTGTAGTGGTGTTGTGGTGGTTGTATTGGTGTTGTGGTGGTTGTATTGGTGTTGTGGTGGTTGTAGTGGTGTCGTGGTGGTGTTGTGGTGGTTGTTGTGGTGGTTGTAGTGGTGTTGTGGTGGTTGTAGTGGTGTTGTGGTGGTGTTGTGGTGGTTGTAGTGGTGTTGTTGTGGTTGTAGTGGTGTTGTGGTGGTTCTGGTGGTTGTAGTGTTCTGGTGGTTGTAGTGGTGTTGTGGTTGTGGTGGTTGTGGTCGTAGCCGTGTGGTGGTTGTGGTGGTTGTGTAGCCGTGTTGTAGTGGTTGTGGTGGTGGTTGTGTAGCCGTGTTGTGGTGGTTGTTGTGGTTGTGTAGCCGTGTGGTGGTGGTTGTAGTGGTTGTAGTGGGCGCTACTGGGCAGTTGGAGGCAGTCGCCCTCCAACAACAACGGAGGGCTGAGGAGCGATGCTCACAACAACGAGCGGAGCGCCGGGTGGCTAAAGCACAGCAGGTTGGCACAGTAGGGGGCACAGGTGGTGCATCAGCCAGTCATCTCAGTCAGTCGACCCGTGGCACCTGGGTCTGCCCCGTGACCTCCTGCCAGCGGGCGTTCGACACTTCACGTGACAGCCTCAAAGTGCACCTAGCCTGGCACAAGTGTCGTGGTGACGTCACCGCCACAGTGGAGAATGGCGGAGATTGGTGGTGGTGGTTGTGTTTGATGTTGTATTGGTTGTGGTAGTGGTGTAGATGTGCTGGTGTTGTGGTGGTGTTAGTGATGGTGGTGGTTGCCGTGGTTGTTGTTCTAGTGGTTGTTTTTGTGGTGGTGGTTGTTGGTGATTTTGGATGCGCTGTAGTGATGGTTGTGCTTGTTGTTGTGATTGTTGTTGTGGTGGTTGTTGGGGTTGTG